TGTGTGTGTGTGTGTGTGTGTGAAAGAGGGAGAGAGAGAGTGTATGTATATGTGTTTGTCTGCCTGTCTCTGTGTGTGTGTGTGTGTGTGTGTGTGTGTTTATGTTTCAGGCTGTATCAGTGTGTCACTGTGTGTGTTTGCTCACTGAGGGCTCTATTTTAATGATCTAGGCGTAAAGTCTGCAGCTCATGGCGCAAAAGTGTTAAGGCCGTGTCTGAATAAACTTTTGCTGTTTTAAGGACAGATAAATCCCCTCTGCACCCGGCGCATGCTCTAACACTGGGGTTTTCAACCTTTTAGGTAGAGGTGTGAACCTACACTGGTCTCACGGTTCGGTTCGGTTATGAATATCATGCCATGATTGGGTTCAATTAGATATCTCGGTGCATCACGGTGCATTGATGACGCTTTCCATACGCAGTTTTATATTTTCTTCACAGCAGCAATTCTTGTATTAAAATGTATAATTATATTCATATACTATTTGTAATACATTTGTGTCCTTTAATACAATCAGATTTATGAACAGTGGCTTTAAACCAGGGATTCCCAAACTTTTTTATTCCTGCAACCCACCTAGGCGAGTTATTCAATCTCAAGACCCCCCATAATATTTTAATATGAAAAAAAGGGGTAAAAAAAGTCTCCATTCACAGCAGTCAAAAATATATGGTGCGCGGCTTTTTGGATTTTGGGATTTGATATGCACAAAATGAGCCTTGAAGTGCTTTTCGTGGGATGCTGGCTGTAACTCTGATCATGTTTTTGTTGAAAAAAAAACTCATGATGTGTGCTGGTCTATAAAGAGGTGTGTTAAGGCGCTATCAGATGAATTTGCTGTTTAAAAATGTGACGCAAAACTAGAAAATTACTGTTGCGCTGGTCTGAAAATAGCAACACATCGCGCCATGTACATCTTGCTACTTAGGGCTCTATTTTGATGGTCCATGCGCAGAGCGCAAAACGCAGAGCGCAAAACGCTTTCAGGGCGTGTCAGGACGCGTTTTTGCTAATTTAAGGACAGGAAATCTGCCTTGCGCTTCGGCGCATGGTCTAAAAGGGTTGAGCTTATTCTCTTAATGAGTTATAGGTGTGTTTTAAGGATAAACCAATCAGAGCCTCATCTCCCATTCCCTTTAAGAGTCAGCTGCGTCGCTCCAAAAGCGCATTCGCTATTTACAGGACGCAAAGTAAGTCTGAGTGGAAAAACTGAGCATTTCACAAGCAAACAGTCCACAGTTAACAGAAAACAGTTAAACAGAGCATCTACTGCGTGAGGATGAGAGATAATGGATCTACTTTCACTTTCGCTCTTGGATAGGGAAACCTTTACGCACAGACATCAATTAGTCTATAAATAAATACTTTGTTTGTTAAGCGCAAAGATTCGTTTCTATTTCTAAATTCAGTTCTAATCTCCAGCAAACGAATAAATGAACAATAATAATGAAGTGTGCTCAAAAACCTGAGTTATATCCTAAAACACATGCTGTGCCCCATATAGTCTAAAACCTGCAGGTGGGCAAATCTAAGCTTGTTTTTAATAAAACAAATATAAATATGCAGATAATAAATAATACTGCTAATAATAATAACATTATACAAAAGCAGATTGTTATGAATGAACTGAAAAAGCCTCCCGAGATGAAGAAGACATAAAGCAGTGATTTTTATATTTATGTCGGCTAGAAAATAATATGTTTTGTAATATTTTAATCCTTTATATTTATATCCTATATCTATTCTTATTATATCCTATATATATCCTTAATATTTACATTTTTTCATATGTAAAGATATTTATTGCTCTCTTGTGTGTATTAAGCAGTGTGTAAGCGAGGTGCAGCTCTGCGCTGGAGTTTAGACCGGGTTAGTTTTGGTCTAATGAAAAATCTTTTATAGTTTCTCAAAATAGCAACGCGCCAGCAGTGCGCCTCAGAACACCTTCCTTTTTAGAGCAGAACGCCTACGGGCGCACATATGAGCGCTAATGCATTTGCTATTTAAACAGCGTAGCGCAACGCCTCAAAACCACTCTTGCACCAAGCTGAAACTACCAAAAGACTACTGCGCCACGCCTTGTGCCACACTGCGCCGGGTGTATGATAGGGCCCTCTGTGTGTTTGTGTGTTTCAGGCCGTATCAGTGTGGTCACTCAGTGTGTGTGTTTGTGTGTTTCAGGCCGTATCAGTGTGGTCACTGCTCTCAGTCGTTCTCCCAGCCGTCGGAGCTGCGGAATCACGTGGTCACACACTCCAGCGATCGGCCGTTCAAATGCGGATACTGTGGCCGTGCGTTCGCCGGTGCCACCACACTCAACAACCACATCCGCACACACACCGGGGAGAAGCCTTTCAAGTAAGTACAGTGAGTACCCGCCCTTCACTTCTGCATCACAGCGCACTGGACACACACACACACACACGCATGCACACACACACACACACACACACACACACACAGATTCATTTCTTTACATTAAATATATATACACACAAAC